CCTGCCTTAGAACTTATATCTCAAGGTGGGTGGCGCATTTACGTTGTAGATTTCTATGGGTTCCATTAACCACTTAACACCAGGTGGGCTGTGAGCTCGTCCACCCATCTAAGCAATAAAAAAAGTCAGATATTAATGAGCTGATCTACCATATGCCCCCTTGATTGTTAGTAATCTCCGTCTCTCATGGATATCTCCAATGCTAGGGGCAAAACCAAGCCGCTGCGTACGCCAAGAAGTCTCTTCAAACTTGTATATAGCGACTTGTAGAGTAAATTTAGACATTAATCCGTTTATACATCAAGTGTATTTATTAATTGTTGGCTGCGGTACGTATTCAAATTGACAACAGAACCATGAAATGTAGTAAAATTGGTGTTAGGAACTAGATTCATAATTTCGTAGTCATATGTATGGGCAGCGTGGCCGAGTGGTCTAAGGCGCTGGTTTTAGGCACCAGTCCGAAAGGGCGTGGGTTCGAATCCCACCGCTGTCAAACTTTTTTATATCATTTTCATATATTTAGTTCTATAATTTTTTGGCAATATCGTGGATCGAATAAAAAAACTCCGCTTTATAAAGTAGTCAAAGAATCAAAGAAAAAAATTATGTATATGAAATTTAAAACAAGTTATAATATAAAAGTATTCATTTTTAGGCTGTTGATTTGAGTTTGGAATTTAAGTATAGAAATATTCACATCTACAATTTGGTCTCACAATCAACATTTGAAATTTGTTAGAATTTGATATCACTGCGAAAACATTTATATCATTTGTGGATATTAGTGTTAAGTGTTAAACATGTTTTTCTCATAGAAATCATGTACATACTTATTATACTCGTATAGTAATAGGAGTAACGCTTCTTAATAAAAAGTTAAACATTCATTTACTACTAACAAACCAAATAACCTATGTACTTTGGGATTACTAAATGCGCCACCTCTAATATATTGAAAGTACTGTACTAGAAAACTACCCTTAAATGTACAATTTTTTTATTGCCCTTGTAGGCAGACGACCATACGGCCCACCTGATGGTGAGTGGTTACCGTCGCCCATGGACTTCAGCAACGCCAGGGGCAGAGCCAAGCCGCTGCCTACCGCTACAAATACAGTAAGTGTAGATTTTCACCTCCATTGAATCAAAACAATATCGACCAGGATCAAATTAACATTGAATTTAATGTATTTAAGGCGCGAATAACAAAAATTCAATAAAAATTGTATTCTGTTCATTTTGAAAAAAACTAGTAGTCTTTTATTGTAATTTTAGTTATAAGGGGGTGGTGGGTTAAATAAAACAAACCTGCTAATTATATTCTGTATATTTACCTAAGTGTAAAGGAGAGTTATTTACAAGGTGGACATCAATTACATGTTATATCCTATCATAATTTAATGTAAAAATCTTTAAGCTGTACCTTGTAGTTTTTGTCTTTTTTTCGCGTATTAACATACCGTTTTATAGGGGCTTATGGGATACCGAATCAAAGTACAGATTACAGATTTTAATCTAAATTGTAGGACTCACTAAAAAAGAAAAATTACTGCACCCAAGAGATTCTGTGTATGTGAAACCAAGTTTAACGACAAAAATATCCCATTTCATTAAGTTTGGTATGGTTTTCTTATATTCCTAAAAATAATTAGGCCTATTAGATTTATTTTTCAATAAGCCTCATAATTATTTAAAAACTTGATAGAAGATTACACAGATAAAATAAAGTTTCATCATTAGTTTTTATTCAAATAAAAATACGGATATTCTAGGACAATTTGTAAACATGATTTAACTATAGTTTATTAGAAAAAAAGCAGTAACATGTCCCTAAACTAGGATTATTTGGTTATACATTATTTATTTGAGACCAATTCGGTTTAGGAAAAATAATGATGAAAACACAAAATATATGAAAAGAAAATTTTATAACGAAAAAAAAACACAAACTATATTTCTCTCTGAAATGTTTTATTTATCCTGATAATAAATATTCAGGTGTGTGATAAAAAAGCAATATGGCCTTTTCCACTTACTAATTAACTAGTCGTTTTTAGTGATAATGTGTCAGATTTTTTATTACTCCTAATGAAAATATCTCTTTAAAAGCAAATTTTTCATTAACTGAATTGATCTCAATTTACATTTTTTTCACACATTATTTTCGTAATACCTACGTACAAAGACTAAGAGAAATTTACATTTACAATGTACAAACTTATGCTAACCAGGAGTTACATTACACGGTCCAATACTTCACCGTTCAATTCATAATCTTTTCAAACTCTCTACTAACGTGTCTAACTCTCAGTCATATCTATTCGAACGTGGTCGAGAGTGACAAGCTTGTTAATATTTTTGAAGTTTAAATCGATATGAATAAAAGATCAATCAACTCACATACCATCCAATAGGAATGTATTAGGATATTTTTTTATTTTGAAAATTCTAGGCGTCCTATTTTATGTTTTTACAAAACTAAGGTACACGTTGAAAATGATTTACTGTTGTGTTATTCAATGATTAAAAAATGTAGACTGAAATTTATGTTAATACAGTACAGATCATGGAACATTCTCGAAAATAAAAACTTTAGCTGGGATTAAATTAGTAAAACTTTTGTTCCACAAAAGAGTTTATGTATTCATTGGCTTGCATAAAGCTTTGAAAAACTAATATGCAAAAAAAACAAACTATCACAAAATCTTCATTTAATTCAATTAAAGTTTATCAATGTGTTATGTATAGGAGAACTCGATAGATTGCATTACGATTTTTTAGAAAGGCTATTAAATTCTCTAAGAAGAACACCTAGAACTTTCTTTGAAAACATCTTGAAACATTTAGTTATCTCTAATGAAATGTTCAATATCAATGATTTATCTCACAGATATTACCTATGAACCGCCCTCATTACTTCGAAGATTTTATACTTAAATGAGTAGATAGTATATTCGGAACTATATGACGTAAATCTATAATCTTATGTTCTTTATATTGTTTTGCATTAACAATTTTAAAATAAATTAATTGACTTGTTAACTATTTCATTTATCAGCAGCACTTAACTATTTTTAGAAAAGGTCACAAAATTTAGATTTAAATTTAATGAAAATTGTCATTGTGCATCTCACTAATATAATCGAATAAGTTGTCGTTGAACGATCGTTTATGCTGCTTAATGATTTCCACGTACGTTTTTAGAATTATTATTTAAAAAAAGAAACAGTTATCAATATTATACAATATTAATAAACGATTTTCACAATCAAGCAGTAGACCGCCCTATCTACTTTTGTTCTAAGTATTTTGTTAGGAGCGTTCTATTTAGATATTATTTTCAATTGTTGTTTTTTGTATTGTAGGTTATCATTTATGTGTAATTTTCAGATGCCTGATGAAGGTCTAATAAAAGACCGAAACGTTGCTAAAATAATAATGTAATTTGTTATAATAGTCCTATCTTGTCCACATTCCTGAGATACACAAAAAATATTTTATAATAATTATGGACGACAATATTGATAATAATTATTTTCAATATTTCGTTACTAAGAATACCTCAAGCTATATTATTGATTTTCTTGTTATGTTGGCAGATATGTAATTTAATAACATCATATACATTGTGTAAACTGTACATAACATAATGAAAGTAAAAAATATATTTATTTCATTTATTTGTATTAATAGGATTCGTTAGTATGTATACGTCTATGTTAAGTTGATATTTAAAATGCAAGTAATTGCTTTACGATTAATTTAATTAATGATTTGTTTAGTTATTGTAAAATAATAAACTTAATGTTATTATTCCACTGTGTTAAAAATATGTATGAAAAAAAGTATGTAATCAATATACATAATATTTTCTATTTAACATGATATTATAACGAGTTTTTAATAATCGGTACCGGTAAAATGGGGCGATTAGGGATTGAGAGGCGAATCGGGAAAAAACCGGGAAAATCTTTCGACGCTCAATATAAGTTTTATATTCGTTGCAAAATCTTCCATTTTTTGTAGTTTAATAGTAGAATGTTGAAAGTTCACAAAACAACTCTGAATATGCATGATAATAGCTGCTAACTTATAAAAAATCGCGTTTCAAATTAACTTCCTGTGGTGGTAATTATTTTAGTGCTAGAAACTTTGCTCTCTTTTATTTATTTGATAATAATAGAAGACGACTATGATTTATAAACGTTATTTAGTGTTTGAACCAGCATATATATTAAAGGTAAGTCTCAGTTGTTATTGGTTTTAATGTATTTGATTAAATAAAAATACATGTAAAAATCTGTTGTTTTTGGGGATATTGGGGACGTCTTAGGTACAAATAACAACGAAAAAGGGGTCAATTGGGATGAGAATACGTGAAATGGAAACGACCTAAGTATAAATAGGTACAGGTTTGTAGGGTTGTCTATGTAGTTATAACAATATTTTTTAAATTTGTTGGTAAAAATCTGGTTTATTCGAAGCGAAATTGGGAATAAGTCTTTAGTTGAAATAGATAAGCAATTTAATATAAGTAAGTCGATTTTGCAGAGACATGTAACAAGATCAATGAAATCTCAAGGTGGACAAAAATGTCTAAGTAATACATAATAAAATATTTAATATTTGTTCAGAGTGGGGGTATTCATCTGATTAATCCATGGAATAACCGACACACCTAATCTCTTAACCCAGATAGAAATATCAGCACTGTCGATTGCACCTATAATTGAGGTGATGTCTGCCATGTACTTTTGTCAGTTTTTCAATTTTTTTTATTGATGATCACTTTGTTGGTGCAACTAAATAAATAAATAAATTAAAACTATATATAAAAATAAAAGTAGTGCCAACCCTAGCAAATTTCTCATTTCGTCCCAATTAACCGCAATTTTCGGGTAAATAGGGATTACACCTATTTTTGCATTTTTTGCTTAAACTGGAATGCTAGTTGCATAATTTTAAATTAGACAACAAAGATGCCCCCAAGACTCAATCATTTTGATCCTGATATAGCATTATATACATCAACAACTACCTTAAAATTGCTCATAAAGTTGGAATTTGTCCCTAATCGCCCCATTTTACGGTACATACCTATGTATGTAGAGTGGTATCAAACGTACAATGCACAATTACTAATTACATACATTTGACAACGAAGATTATATTTTTAATAACTATTGAAATTAAAAGCGAAAATGGCACAGGGTACTAAAGACGTAAGTGTCTTTGCACAACCGAATATTTAAAAACTAAAAAGAGTAACGAAGACGTACAATAGAGATTAAAAGTTACAATATCTAGATAAAAATCCTTCGATTCATTTATAGATAACTTTTGAAATAAAAAAATCAGTATGAATATTTTACATTCTTACACTGATGATTCACATAAAAATTATATTATTCGATGATATTAAAAATCGTATATCTCCATAACGTAGATATATCTTAAACATACATACATACATTTACTATATTACAATGTGAATTTCAAAGATAACTTCGCGAAAAAATTATTATCAAATAATTCAATTAAATCTAGAAGAGAGAAGCATAATATACACAAAAACATGAAAAAAATGACGGTGTAGTAAAAAAAAAAATTGACAGCTGACGCGTACTCTTATGTTGGTAGTATTATGCAATTTCAGCATTACCAATTCATACATATTAGAATTTAACGTTGCTTTAAAACTATTACATTACATGAACTAGATTTTTTTTTTAATTGTCAACTTTAATTATCTTAATGTTAAATCTTAATAAAAGTCACATTGTTTATATGATAATATACAGCCATTATGAAAAGAAACAACACATGCAGTTTCACTTAAACCATAGCATGAATCTTTCTGGGTAATCAAAAGTCTTGACGTTTGTAAGTTACATTAGTAATGACGCTCAGCACCGCCATCTAGTACAAGAGTGAAGTAACTCCGGCTTCATGTAAACCGTTTTTTATTTATCATTATAGAGAAACCTAGAGTACCGAGAAATATTCACAGTATGACCCTAGACAGAACACTCAACCACATTTGTCTTACAACAGAGTACGTAATGATGTTTTATATTCTTCCACATTCCAAAATTTATGAAAAAATTGGTCTCAATATTGATAATTCTATGATTTAACATAAACGAATGCATCCATTGAATTCCATATTATCTCTTCGTTCAAGACAAATAAATATTTTTGTACCTGGTTTGTACATTTAACTGTACAATCCGTACATATACCTACAGTTGCGTCATTATACCGTCAAATTCAATTAATAAATTGTCAGGTTTTGTTTCGTTTGAATGATTCACAGAACAAATAGCCACGGCAGGAAAATATGAAGAATTAATTACACGCATTTAAGTATTCCTGAAACGGAACGTAGATTTGAAAAGAGAAAAAGAAAATCAAAATGGCGCCCAGGTGGGAAGTGTTCATTCTTGATTAGAGCGCCGACTAGTAAGCACGTGGCATGTTTTGTTCCGAGTCGTCTCACGCGTAGAACTCGCGGTTGTTGTGTCCTTTCCCGTACGAGGCTGCCGCTGGACTTCTCTTCGGCTCGTCGAGGGCATAGGAACCTTCATCCTTCTTACGCATGCGGTATACTATGAACATGACCACAAGGATTGCGCATAATAACCCTACTACAGCACCACCGATCACAGCTGAAACAGATAATAAGAGGGGTTAAATTGAAATCATTCTCGCAAAAAATAATGTAATTAAGTCGTCATGGACTAAAGTATAAATTGCCGGGTGTACTCGAGTTGAGCGACGCTACTATGCGAATCCCACAGATAGTTAGTTACCAGTTCCTCTAATAAAATACGTATTTAATTTACGTTCATGAATTATTTCCAGATTGAAGGCATAACGTCGCTTAACTAAAATAAATAAGCCCAAAAATTATATATAATTTGCGCAGTTACTGGTGGAAAGGCGTTTTTTGAGCCCATATGAAGGGTACCATAATTCTGCCCCTTTTCTGTCGTGAAGCAGTTGTGCGTTCTAATTTTAAATAGCATTTAAATTTACTCTGTTTAATTCTAATATTTTTAATTCATGGTATTAAAGAAGTCGTCGTGGCCTACTCATATCTTAAAAACTCTCTATAATCTATGGCAAAACTTTCGTACTATGTATGTTATGGAGGGTAGAGGTAAGGAGAACCGTCTCATATGGGAGAAGCTTGAAAAAGTGTCCCACTTTCAGCACTAAATAACAGTTAAAAAATGCTCTAGAATGGCGCTAGCATAGGCGCAGGGTATGACATGAATTGAGCAGTTGTTAACTGATTGAAGTATGCCGAGTTAGGAAATTTAATATATTTACTAACTAGAGTAGTTAGTGACAGTGTAATATACAAGACCTCATATGTTTACATAGTCCAAACTAATTTCGTCAAAATAACCTAAAATTATTGCTATGGTAAAACGTGGAGACATCGATTGCATTTTCTTATCAGCTTTAAATAAAATACTTTTTGTAATTTTGTAGTGCTTACAGTTCTTTCGTCCTTTTTTATTTCTCTATCTTATTCTAATAACTTTCCACGCCTTTTTTAAAATTTACCCGTATGCTACTGTAGCGCCATCCTTATTTAGCAGATTTTAATGGACACTTTTTACACACAGAGACGGTTCTCCTTACCTCTACTCTCTATAGAACTATGGTTAGGTTAGGATTAAATTTGAATTATACTAACCGGCGAGTATGCCAGGCTGCGCGAAGAAGCTGATCGCTCTGTCTTCCGGCTTGGCGTTCATGATGAACACTTCTGACGGCCGCGAATCAGGATCCACGTTAGTGCCCGCCTGCTCCTGGTCCTGGAATTTGATTATGATTCAATTGAATAGATATAAAAAAATCTATGAGACAACATTTATGCTGCACAAATATCTCTTCTGTAATAAGGTTTCAGGAACGCAGTTTGCATTAAACATTAATTATATTGATTCCTCACTATGACATTAGAGAAAAAGCTACTTAAGCGTCTGAATTACGTAAAAAATTGCTTTGTATAACATAGTTTTGTCTCATAAACTAATTACTTTATTAAATATCGAAGAACGCTCTAGAATAACGCAAATTGTTTTTACTGCTCTCAGACATTCAACAAAGGTATTTTAAAATAAACAATAGCTTAAAAAAACTATTATAACAAAATACGCTTTTATAGAAAATCCAACTAAAAAATAGAAACTAAATTTTAATAAATTTGAATTAAAAATAGTGTAAGAAAAAATTATTTTATTGTAAAAAAGCGTGGGGTGCTTTTTAGGATACTATCAAAATAACCCACCCTTCTACTCATATCTGTTCATAAAATATTTATAACTACTTAAACACCATGCACCCCACGCTTTTTTTACAATAAAATCAATTTTTCTTACATTTTTTTATTAAAATTTATTTTCTATTTTTTAGTTGGATTTTCTATAGAAGCGTATTTTGTTAGTTTTTTTAAACTATTATTTATTTTTCATATTTTAGTTGAATTTCTATTTTTCAATTTTTTTCATTTTTCATTTTTTTTTAATATTGCATTGTCATCGTTCTTTAATAAGTATACCAAATTTCGATGTAATCCTACGTTTTGAAAAAATCATGTTCAAAGATTCCGTTACAAACATACATACATACGTCTGAACCTAATAAAAGCGTAATAAAAAATACAATATATTTCTATGAATTAAATAGATATAGAATTGTAGGTCTTTCGTTTTTTGTGTTTCATAACTTTCCAATTTATACTTCTCGTACTAAATACTTTTTTTTTATGATTGAAGGATTACTGGTGGCCCGGAGGCTTTTCCAGTTTCACCAGGACAGGTGGGCGAGCAAAGGCTCAGCCAGGAGGGGTGGGATTTGCTCACAGCTGCCCGAACGCTTCCGAAGGAGACCTAACAACTCAAGAGCAGCTGCTTCGCGAATGAATCTACTACCGGATCGGAATCGCGACCCGCTGAGAAGATCCGGCGAGAAACTCAGCGAGCTGATGCATGGGTTAGGTTGCACGTCGAACTCTTTGTCGAGTTCGACGAGTACGGTTACCGGGGTCCCTAAGCCTGCTCCTAGTGTTAGAGCTGAAGGCGTCTAATGCAAAGGTTATTGGATCTGATGGATCCGTAAGGACGTGGTTCTAAATACTACATAGTAAGCAGATGTACTCACAATTGCCGGATTGGTGTCTTCTTCAGAGATGTTGATTTCGCCGTTCTGATCAGGGCGCGAGGGTCGCTCCTCCCCCGCGCCGTGCGGTTCCACCTCACCCCCGCTTGGTTTGTTGTTCACAGCTGAAACGTTTCATCAAATAATCAGTCAACGACTATCGCTACGATTTTATAATATACTTTTTTTTTAGACGTTAATGTTCTAGAATGTTCTTGGTTTATTCTATTAATTCTATTATATTATTATATAATTCAAATATAATAATAGATATATAAATAATTAATATACATTTTAGTATGTTGTTAAATTGTGTCTATATTTGATTAGTATAGGTTATATTACTTAAAATGTGTTCTTAATTCTATTTTTAATTTCGCGAGCCGTGGACATAATTAAAACTAACGCAAAAGCGATTTAATTTCGATTTGATTGGTGGCATTTTATTTCTTACAATATTTCGACTATCTTACAGTTGAATGTTGAAGAATAACACACCTTAGTCGTCCGTGACCATGAAAACAGTGAAGTACAATTAACTCTCCTTTCTTTTCCCCTGCCTATGCTGATAGTTTTGAGAGGCTATTTCAGCTTCTCCTTGACGTGTAGGTGAGCTCACGGGGCTCAAGCGGGGAGGGTTGCTAACATTGGCCCTAGCAAGACCAGTGCTTCGCGGAATCTACCACCGGATCGGTTACGCGACCCACTGAGAAGATCCGGTGAGAAACTCGTGGGCTGTGTCTATGGATTACTTTACTCGTCGACCCCTTCGTCGCAAGCGACGGGTTCGGCGAGGATGGTGACCGGTGCTTGAGTTACCTAAAAGCATCGTTAATGGATCGGGAGGATCCGTAAAACACGGTAGATACGTTCTTACAAAGTCCCGTGTTGTGCGAAGTCGTGTTATATGAGACTAGAGGCCATTACAAAAAAGGAGAGTAATTTTTCTGAATGAAACATCTCAACTATGCCTGTATGTGTTTTTTATCTATTATCCATATAAAATAAGCAATATAATTTTGGTTATTCCCATATATTGTGTGTTTATAGTGCATAATGTAATTTTCTAAACAATTTTAAACAGAAATCGTGTTATCGTGTTGTCGAAGTATCAAGTTAATTAAAAGAGTATTTTGAAAAAATTTTCATTTCGTTTTAGTGTGGAATTGTGTCCTAAAATACCATGTTATAGAGAAAGTTAACTAACTGTAATCGAAATATCAGAAGTAATAAAACGAAACCATTTACGGCGAATATTAAATGGTAAAACTAGTTTTAATTATACACTTATCGAACACGGAGGCCAGGATTGGATATTGGACAGGAAGGAAACTCATTCGGAATAAAATCAAGTAAAGCGCTTAATAAAAATAACGCTGTACAAAAAATATATTATTTAAGAATAAAACTATTAGCTGCTATCTAGCTAAGCTAATGAGTTTATGAATTGTATTAAAAAGTATTCTAATTCTATGCACAGACACAATACTAAAAGGGGTATACAGTAGGTAAATACGATAATACGTATTATATACATGCCTATAGCATTATATACTTTTGGTATTGTATTTATTATGTAAAATGGAGATGAAATCATGCGCATAACGCTATGGAAACATTAGATCAAAACTTACCAGATTCCAAAATGTCGTGTGTTTTTAAAATATAGAAAATCAATTTTACAATAATAATAAAACTTTAAAAAACAATTCTGTTCGTCACAACATGAATAGATGGCTGTTTGTGTTCGAGTAAGCTAGCGTGTGGTATGTTAGCTGTTTTAATACAAAAACAATGGCTATAATTATTACAAAACGTTAATAATTCAAGGTTACGTCACGATTACTGTTTTGAAACAGTCACACGATGTCCTCCCAGCTGAAGAATGTTATCTAAATGTTAATACAGTTTTAGTACAAAAATTTTATATCTTGTTTTTCACTACGTATCAGATTTGAATACCGTGAAAAAATACGAGAATTTGTTTTTACTTTTAACTTCGTTATAACTGGTGAGGTTATCGCGAAGTTGTTCATTGTTGACAATGACAAGTTATTAATATGCCATTATTATGACTGATGCACGGTGATAACGTCTTCCGAAATACGAATTCTCGTAAATTAATAAAAATAGCGCAAAAAAAAAAAACAGGCATGCTGCAGCCACTACTCACGAACAAATACTTCTGGGTGTATTTCGGGCTCTAGAGGCGGAGGTTCAGTGACCGGGGTGGCCGGGGTGACCGGGGTATCTGTTTGTTCGGACTCTTTTTCTATTTCTACTTCGGTTTCGTCGTAGAAGTCCGAAATGAGTTTCCTCTCGTGGTCATCGGTGGGAGCCGCGTCGGTCGAGGTCGTGTAATCCTCGTCGTCTGGTGGTAGTTCATCGTGGTCGGTGGGCGCTTCACCTGAGCTGTCCTCGTCGTCGGGCCCGGGGCCGGCTCCCCAACCGGAGCCCGAGCTCTCGTCTGTCTCTAGGCCGGAACCTTCATCGGCGTCGACGAACGTGCTCTGGTCTGACGCGACGCCGTCGTTCAGTGGAAGCGATAAGTTGATTGACGGCGATTCAGCGACAGCTGCGTCCTGGAAAAAAAATTATTTATCAAAGAGAGATAAGAGAGGCAGTAGGAAGTGTACCGCAAAGTCACAATCTATTTTGAGCACAGCCACTTTGTTTTTTTTTTCCTACCTAAGCTGATAGCCTTGAGAGACTATTTCAGCATAACCTTAACTAGTAGGTGAGCTCACGGGGCTCAAAACGGAGTGATGCTAACACTGACCCTAGCAAGTGCTTCACAGAATCTAACACCGGATTTAAAACGCGACGCACTGCGAAGATCCGGCGAGAAACTCAGTGGGCTGTGTCTAAGGGTTAATTCGCTCATCGAGCCCTTCGTTGCAAGCGACGGGGTCGACGAGGACGGTGACCGGTGCTTGTGGTGCCTAAAAGCACCGGTTAATGGATCGGGAGGATCCGTAATGACGTGTTTTGGGCGACGTCGACACTTTGATATCAACCGCGTAATAAAACTAACAGTAACACATGTTTAGTTTGAGATTATAAAAGAAAAACGGGGTAACCCCTTTTTCTACGATGACGCAGGATTTGACCTATTTCTAGAATAATCAACGTTTGACATTTAAGTGCGACGCTGACCTATTTAGAGTAGACACAGATTTCTTGATAAATCAAAACATCAAGGCAGCGTTGAATAAACAAAAGACGCGATCACACAAATGCTACAAAACGCTTTAAACCACAAACTTATTGGAATTGGATATTGGAATATTTTTTCTATGTCACCATGAATGAACCGGGCATGAATGGTGTTCCGACTTAATTTTCCACTCACCTCGATCTTCCCCAAATGTGTATGTAGCGATGAGTCGTAATAGGATAATGATTACGTTTGAATTATGCTGTTTTGAGTTTTGTTCTTCGATATGTGGCAGTTTGCTCCGCTAGCGTATTTTTGTAGTGTCGGGGCGAGATCAATAGGCTGTAGCCACTGCGTAGGGGAGGGGTACGCTCAGGAATACTCTGCGGGTTCCCGAATGCCGCCGACAGATGACGGAACGCGAAGGCTTTAGCGGAAAACTTTGTGAGTTTGTCGTCAGAGAGCGCACCTCCAGTGTTGGCAAATTTCAGAGCTTTCAATTTTAAGTGACTATTCTTTCGATAGATGTCGCTGTTCCGCAAAATTCTACTTTTCCCCATGGCTTCTCATCGATTCATATACAGCACACTTAATTAGTTACAAGCTGTATAAGGGCGATTATGTCCTCATGCGTGTTTAACTTCGAGCAACTACAAAGTCATTAGCACGCACTTTGGTAAAATTAATTAATTGACTTTGTTTTTTCTTTTTTCCTTTTAAGCAATTTTGAAGGCCGAACGCTTAATCAACCAGTATTCAATATTTCAGAATTATTAACTAATTTATAGTTTCAAAATGGTATGAAACAGTTGAAGGAACCTTGAATTTGTTAAACTATAAGCTGATGATGAGGATGATGAATCAGCTCGATCATGTTGATTTAAAAAAGATTACAAAAAGTCAGTGATTCTCAACAGTTTCTTGCTGCGTATACATATGTACATATTTATTAAAATTAATTTTGCTATCGACTTAAGTACCTATTCGTGGTTAAAATCCACATATAGCCAGGGTGGTGGTACCTACCCGCGCGAACTCACACGAGGTTCTACCACCAGTAGTATAGTTACAACGGCTGCCCCACCCTTCAAACCGAAACGCGTTACTGCTTCACGGCAGAAACAGGCATAATATATTATGTATTCAAAACTCAAATTGTTCCACAACAGTATCATTGTAATTGCAAAGCTACTTATTCTGATTTTCGTGTTATAACATGCTTTCAAAACGATTACCAGACGATTTTTATCATAAATCTCGCTCGGGCAAGGCTCGGAGCCTCGTAATGAGAAATATTATTTATTGTCCGGGATAAAGCGCGGCTCCCGACCGGCCGGACCGTGTTAAGCTCGGGTTTATTACCGGGTACTAGTGTTATGGTCTTCTGCTTGTTAACAAATTGCCAGTATATCGAAAGTTAGTTTGGTGTGTTTTTGTTTATAAGGGTAAATGTACACGAGACGAATTCTCATTGACTAAGAATATGCGGTAAAAAAAAGTTGTAACCAGTCATAAGCGCTGACATTTCGTTTAGCTACGACCGCATCGGCGTCACCGGGCTAGAAGTTGAGCTCATCATCATCAGCCTGCGGCAGTCCACTGCTGGACATAGGCCTCCCCCAAAGCTCACCACTGAACCCGATCTTCGGTTCTACGCATTGAGCTTAAGTTGAGCTCACGGGGCTCAAATCTGCCGATGTTGCTAACACGAACCCTAGCAAGAGCCGTGCTTCGCAGAATCTACCACCGGATCGGAAACGCGACCGACTGAGAAGATCCTGGCTGTGTCTGTGGGCTAATTTACTCGCAGAGCCCTTCGTCGCAAGCGACGGGTTCAACGAGAACGATGACGGTAGTTCTTCTATTCTTTCAGGCCACAGACGTCCATTGCTGGACATAAGCCTCCTCTAAGCCTGGCCAGAACGACCGATCTGGCGGATCCCCGCGACCATGAATAGGTCCGCGGTCCACTTTTGTAGGAGGTCTACTGTCGAGGTTTTATTATTTTCGGCGTAAACCACTTATCTATTAAAAATTAAAATTATATAAATAAATAAAACTGAATAGTACAATGTACCTAACAATTAAGGCACCAAGCATTTCAGATTCAGAATTTTTACTGCTTGGTTGAGTTCGGACGGGATCTTCCTAGAACAATCAAATCGGACCCCGGCTTCAACCTAATTCCGTTATCAGCTAGAGCCAACTGTTTTTAAATGGACCTCCGACCACGGCTCCCTCGGTTCGCCTCGAAAACGTAATACACAAAGCTCTCTCTGTAAATATGCGATAGATCCTGAATTGGCTGCCAAAGGACAACCGTTCAAAATAAATTTTAATTGACCAGCGTGACGCTATTAGAATGTTTAACTGTAGCGCCAACGCGACAATGTGCTTTCACTGGTCTTTTTCCTTGAAATGTTGATGGTAATTTTGTTTATTAATTAATAGAATATTATCAACATTTTTTTTCCTACCTATCTATTGACCTCAAGGGGTTTTTTTAGATTCATATATAACAATAATCCTAGCAAGAGCAGTGCTTCGCAGAATCTATCACCGGATCGGAAACCGGCCCACTGAGAAGATCCGGCGAGAAACTCAGTGGGCTATGTCTGTGGGTTAATTTACTCGCGGAGCCCTTGGTCGCAAGCGACGGGTTTGACGAGGACGGTGATCGGTGCTTGAGGTACCAAAAAACACCGTTAGTGGATCGAGAGGATTCGAAATTACGTGTATAATTAACAGATATCGTCTTTGAAAGGCGGGAAAGCCTATTACATAGTTGAGAGCCTTAGGTCTTAGGCCTCAAGCTGGGTGGCGCATTCATAGTGGTCTACGGACTTCAGTAGCCACTTCAAATAAAGTTACGACCATCACTGCAGACTTCTGCATACTTCGCGACAAAAATACCTAGAGCTCAGGAGATTATATTAGAATGGATTAGAATGGCATAAGATATTTGTGCTATACGTTTGATAACAAAGGATTTTATTACCAGACAGGCTAGAGCATTTATGTGTTATGCGGAACCCAAACATATCAGGACGTGAGCACCGCTATTCATCTTGAGACATGTTATCAAAGAGTTAAGGAGTACATTGCTAGAGCACGTCAACAATAAACCCGAGTACACAAGCCTTTAGCTCGTCTATAAACAGTGATGCCAAACATTTTATAAAATTTGACAAAATCCAGATATTCGCTATGGAAAACAAAAAAATAGGTTACTTAAAATAAATTTACTGGTGGTAGGACCTCTTGTGAGTCCGCACGGGTAGGTACCACCACCCCGCCTATTTCTGCCCTGAAGCAATACTTAATAAGCAGTAATGCGTTTCTGTTTGAAGGGCGGGGCAGCCGTTGTAACTATACTAACCCCTTAGAACTTATATCTCAAGATGGGTGGCGCATTTAAGTTGTAGATGTCGATGGGCTCCAGTAACCACTTAACACTAAGTGGGCTGTGAGCTCGTCTATCCAACTAAGCTATAAAAAAAAATCCAAGTAAGATGAGCGAGGCGATTGAATTTAAAAAAATGTGTATCTTTAACAGAGTAGTTGGCGCTTGTCTAATAGCTGGAATCCTCTTATCGTGGAGACGAAAACTCAAGTCAAACAAACTGTCAAACCTCAAGATAGTATTGTTTGTTGTGTGTGAAGTGAAACGTAAAATCTTGAATGATTTTGTTTAGAAAAATTAGTCGGTAGATTGCATATTATTCAAATGTCGATGAGACCTTAGCATTCGTGACTACCAAGATTTTAAAGTGTTTGAAACGTCGGAAATAATGTATTGATAAAAAAAAATGCGATAATCAGATGCAGTTTTAGTTACGTCAACTGTAAGAACTGTTTTATTTTTCAAAATGTTTACTCAAAAGTGGGCAGGTTAGTAAATTTTTTCAGCTTGGAATGCAGTAAATAGCATTTTAACCCGCCTAGCTTTTACAAACAGATTAACTATTTTCTTTGCAAACTTGATTCTTATTATACACAAGCGGCCCGCTCCGGCTCCGCTCGGGTCTTTAACAAAAATTTCAACGATATTTGACGTAGTTTATTTTTTGAAATAAAATAACACTTATTGCGGCATAACTATAATAGTTAGACATATGCTGTCGCGACACTTTTTGTAAATAATAATGTTTTCTACAAAGTCGAAGTACATTATTTTATTCTATCATCAATCGTTTTCGCAGGGCACGCGATGTAAATAATATTTTAGGTAATTTTTTTACACTTTGTGTTACATTATTGGACTTTTAGTAAGGATCCCTAATTTTTTTAAAAAAAGGTTATATCCTATGTCACTCTGGAATAGTGTAACTTCCAAACAGTGAAAGAATTTTTCAAATCGGTTCAGTAGTTTCGGAGCCTATTCAATACAAACAAACAAACAAATCTTTCCTCTTTATAATATTA